CCCCCCCCCATGAATTAAATGTAATTCGTTTTTCCCAAACGCGACATCAGCTGCAATTTTCAACCCCCTTTTCTCTTTCTTCAAAAGTCTATAAAGTAGAAAAAAAGACACATTTGTTAGAGGTCTGCATCGACGGTTCATCACCGAAGATAGTTAAATACCATAACATGATGCTCGGGAAAGTGAACATCAGCGATTGGTTTCACCAGTGCCGTGTGTCACATGAGAAAGCAGAACCTCTGGGACAGCGGTTCTCAACCTGTGAGCCGCGACCTCTTTGGGGGGGGGGATCTAACAACTTAGGGGTCGCCTAAGACTATCGGGAAACAAATTAGGAAGCAGCAACGAAAACAATTTTATGGTTGCGGGGGAGGGGGGGTGGTGTTGTCACAACAACATGAGGAACTGTAATAAAGGTTCGCAGCATGATGAAGACTGAGAACCATTGCTCTAGGACGTCCACGGTGAAACGTGAAAAGTGTGTGTGTGTGTGGGGTGGGGGGGGTGACATCATGAGTTTACCGCATTGGGTGACACACCAACCCTGGTGACGCCACTTACTGTCCACAATATACTTGTCCATTCATTTCTGTCCATTCCAATTAATTAAAAAAATTCTATTTTTTTTAACCGTCCCATACCATCGACTCCATTCCACAGGTTGAGATTGTTCACTCGCACCGTCCCATACCATCGACTCCATTCCACAGGTTGAGATTGTTCACTCGCACCGTCCCATACCATCGACTCCATTCCACAGGTTGAGATTGTTCACTCGCACGTTTTAGACTTTGAGCTAGCGACGCTAAATCGTAAAAAAATAGTATTTTCGGAGAAGTATTTCTTTAAAAATCGTCAGGGTTTTCCCGGACAAAGTTCTATCTCGTTTTTTAAGCACAGATTGTTAAAGCTAAATGCGTTAAAAACATGAACCGTAAAATAAATGATTACACCCGAGACTGATGAACACTTTTGCGTGTATAAATACATGCATGTCATTTAAAGCTAAGTGCTATAATGTAGTGTGAGCTTACAACTATGGATGGTGCTCGGACCAGTGGATACTTGCTACTCGCTACATTCTTTCAAGTTGAAGCAAGAAGACAGAAGCATAAATTCCAGTCTTTGTTTCGCTACAAAACAGGGCAGGGTTAAGTCTTTCAGAAGCCTCTAGTCCAGTGGTTCTCAGCCCGTTATAATGCCGCGACCCTTTAATAAAGTTCCTAATGTTGTGGCGACCCCCCCTCCTCCCCCCCCCCCCAAACAAAATTATTTTCGTTGATACTTCTAAACTGATTTTATTCATTTTATTCTTTAGTTGCAGTATATTATAGTTTTCTCATTGCTCCACCGTTGACACTGGTACAACAAAACAAGGCAAATATACTACCACGTGATCACCACGTGACTTGCGAGATCTATGATCACAGAGAGTTTTTTTTTTTAGAAATCCAACGCAATAAAGAGAAATGGAAAGTACAAGAAGAAAAACATGAAGAAAATTATAAACATCAGGGATTTTATTCTTGACGAACCAAATCTTGAGTTCTCCATTCCAACCTGTTTTACATATATATTCTAAAAAACAACAACAGCAACAACAACAACACAAGACAACTATTTCCATCCCATGAACACAGGATCGTTGGTTAAAATGATGCGATTTTCTAACGGCTGCAGGGGTCGGACGTTGCCGCCTGTGTAGGGGTCGGGGTCGGTTGACATGGTGAGGTATCGAAACTGTGCCAGCTGGAATGAAGAAAGAAAACAAACTTGGAAAATTTAGTGGAAAAATTGACATCGGTGTTCTACATAATGGAAAAATAAAAGTCTTTATGAAGCTGTTGATTGTTTTTGTGTTGCTTGATGTGAGCAGCCGGGGCGCTAGATCCCGACCTTGCGTCTGCTAGTCAGGGCGCTAGATCCCGACCTTGCGTCTGCTAGTCAGGGCGCTAGATCCCGGCCTTGCGTCTGCTAGCCAGGGCGCTAGATCCCGGCCTTGCGTCTGCTAGTCAGGGCGCTAGATCACAGGCTTGTGTGTGCTAGTTGGGGTGTTAGATCATGGCCTTGTTTTGGCTAGTCGAGGCGATGGATAACGGCCTTGTGTGAACTATATGGGGCACTAAATCACGGCCTTTTGTGTGTGCTAGTGGGGTGCTAGATCATCGTCATGTTTTTGCTAGTCGGTGTTGAGACCCGCTGGTCCTCACCTTTGTGAGACCCGCTGGCTCCACTCTCTCCATCGCTTCCCCACGCGTTCATCGCTACCCCACGCGATATGACACAATTAGGCTGGGCCTTAAAATAATAAAAGTAGACTCAAATAACAATGGAAAGTAACTTATTCACTTTGGCCATGACCCAGTTTAAGCAATACACTCATTCTTGTCGAGCGTCCCAACTCTGAGTTGTCACTCTGATGACCAACGCGTAACGGAATCCGAAGCCACGCTTGTGAGTCATTTAAACACGACTCTGGGATGCCACGCTTAAATGCGGGACAAGCACGCCAAACTTAGAGTATATATTGAAAGCCCAAATCATGTATCGGCCTCTCTTACCTGAATTATGTCAGAAGAGCCTGGCTGGCATAATTAGCTGATAAAGTGTGTTTATCCTGATTGTGGTGGGTTAGTATTGTTCAATTTCATATTCATGTGTACTGGTATGTAGAGTCGTAGATGTAATGTTATTAAGAAAATGTTAGGACTATAGTTACTATTGTTAATGTTTGATTATGATAACTATTAATAATTTATAATGTGATGTGATTTGTAATTCTTAGCTATGTCTTATGCATTGTATTTATTATTCTCATTTCTAGCCAGTAAATTACAATAATAGTAAAGCGAAGTAAATTACACCTAGTAAATTACAGTAAAGTGAAGTAAATTACACCCAGTAAAGTAAAATTACCTGAAGTAAAGTAATAGTAAAATTACCTGAAGTAAAGTAAAGTAAATTACATGGAGTAAATTACATGAAGTAAGTTACAGTAAGTAACATTTGGCCAGTAAAGAATATTTGACCAGAAAGTGTTTGTAAAGTAAATAACATTTGGTCAGAGTTGTAACAGTTCAATAAATAATAACTGGAACTAAAGTTAGTACAGTTCAGTTAGAGGAAGCGCAGTTATTAGCAGGAGATAAGCCAAATGAATCAAACAAGACGGTAGCATATACTGTGTGTGTGTAACCCACAGTAAGGTTCAAAGTCGGCACCTACCTCCTTGCAGTGCCAGTGACCGGAGACACTTACGCAGTCAAGCCGCCCAACCCCACAGTACATTGTGACCCAAGCAGAGGGCTGCTGTGGTGTGTGTGTGTGTGGGACTTACTTATTCGACCAGATCGCCATTGAGAGCCTACTATGCATTAATATTGGGCAGTATCTTGTTATCCTGTTTATAGTATATGTAATATGTATGCTGATAGTCCTGTTTTTATAATTAAATATTTATTTGTGGGCTGAACCACTCTTGTGTTATTAGTATAGTTAAAGTATTACTAGAATTGCAAGTGAGAGCTAGTGAGAGTTCATTGAATGATAGAGTGAGTGTGAAGTAGGATTAGTGTAGAATACTTCATCAGGAAATTAATCATACCCTAGACATAGCCATAATAGCAGTACTAATCTAACGTAGAGGAAAGGGACCTTTGTTTGTTAATACAAACATTAAACATTTCAAACCCAATACTTTTAACAATTGGGGCAGAACATACATAATTACACATCATAGTTTTGTAACAGTCGGGGCGCTAGATAATGGCCTTGTGTGAGCTAGTTGGGGTGCTAGATCCCCACCATTTGTGTGACAGTGTGGGGAAGCCGTGTATAATCTGGTCTTGCATTTGGAAATGATAATTTGACTGCATGAATACAGCTGCTGTTATACATACATCACGCCCTTGTTTTGATATCGGTCATGAATAAAGGACTCGGTTTCTTTACCTGCTGGCTAGAAATATCTTGGGGCGTGCTGTAGACTGACCAGATGATA